AGACGAATAAGTAAAAGATGGTGATGGAAAAGTAAAGGACCAACAAAAACAACATTTGATATGAATGTATAGCAACCGACAAAAAGACAATAGTTTTGAAACAGCTGACAGCTGTTTGGATCCTGTCTTTATTGGAAACAACAAAAACAATAACAGCAGCCACCACAATACAAATACACACTCATTCAGTCTCTCCTATCCTTATCGCCTTGATATATATACATATGCGTGCTCTCTACAACTGGAAGGTACAAATGATCCTTAAATATCATTTCGATTTTTCTTCGTTGTTGTTTTATTATTATGATCATAATTTTAAAGATTTTAATTAAATTTTTTTTTATTTTATATTTTTGTTTGATACTCGTATTTTGGTTCCTACCACATCCGTTTTTCATTGTGATTGTATAGAGTGTGTGGTAGTTGTTATTAAGTTTTATATTTTTTTATTTCTGTTGTAGTTTTTGTTGTTGTTTCAATATCAAGTTGTTTAATCATGTGTGAGTAGTATGTGTTATTGTATCTATATACATACATATATCCTGTTTCCTTTAATTTTTCTGGCAGGGGAAATTAAATTCATTATTTCTTGTATACCAGCTTATATGTATGTATACATATTTGGAAACAATGTGCATATGTTTTTATTATAGTATGTACTTATGTACATAAATATCTACTGCTAATGGAAAATATTTACCTTGTTCTGGTTTGTATAAACAAAAAATATTATTATGCAAAATGATAAGAACTTGTTCTTATTGTTTGTCCATAATATTAAAGATAAATAAAGGAATTTCGTATCCTTGAACACCTTTAAAAACAAAACATTATTTTTTGTTTTTGCTCATATGTATGTATGTACGTTGATTTGAACCAGTAACTATAATTCTTAATTCTTAAATTTTTGAATTCTAAATCTAATTAACAAAGTCTTACTTTCGTTAAAGTTTACTTAACCCTTTCCATCAGTGCTACTAATAAGTCCCACAACTTGATATTTCTCATCAAGATTTACAATTTTTTATTCCCCTATAGAATTACAGAAAACTAAAGTTCGATATTAACCTCAGAAAAATATTTATTTTACAGATAAAAAACTAAAGTTCGACGCTTTTAGACTTATAGTTATTTTCAGATTTTTCATTAAACTATACCTTTCCATTCTAAACTTCATAATTATGATAAGCTTATTATAGCCAACCACAAATCGATATTAAAAAATCTGGCTCCGTTACAATCTTCCGCAGAGAAAACACCATAAACATGAAAAATTTCAGCTATATGTATCACTAGCGTACCCTGGTTGCAACCCCTAATCGAAATTATATACAAATTATGATAAAGTGAAATATTCAATAAGTACCATTTGAAGCACGATATTTGTTGTTCCAAAAGCCCCCTCTTATAAATTCTAATTCTGCTAATTTTGTGATGGTCGGACCCCAACCCCATACAAGATCCCCTTAAGAAAAAATATATTAATAGAAACAAGCAAATATTACATCTACATATTATGTTTTGTTTCAGTTCTAATTCAATTCTATTTCAGTTTTAGTTCAGTTCTAGTTCAGTTCTAGTTCAGTTCTAGTTCAGTTCTAGTTCAGTTCTAGTTCAGTTCTAGTTCAGTTCTAGTTCAGTCTGTTCAGTCTAGTTCAGTTCTAGTTCAGTTCTAGTTCAGTTCTAGTTCAGTTCTAGTTCAGTTCTAGTTCAGTTCTAGTTCAGTTCTAGTTCAGTTCTAGTTCAGTTCTAGTTCAGTTCTAGTTCAGTTCTAGTTCAGTTCTAGTTCAGTTCTAGTTCAGTTCTAGTTCAGTTTTAGTTCAGTTCTAGTTCAGTTCTAGTTCAGTTCTAGTTTAGTTCTAGTTCAGTTCTAGTTCAGTTCTAGTGCAGTTCTAGTTTAATTCTAGTTTAGTTCTAGTTCAGTTCTAGTTCAGTTCTAGTTCAGTTCTATTTCAGTTCTAGTTCAGTTCTAGTTTTGTTCTAGTTCAGTTCTAGTTCACTTCTTCTTCAGTTCTAGTTCAGTTCTAGTTAAAAAAATTGTATAGGACCCTACCTATAGAAATTTTTAATTGACCCTACCATCCATATAAGGTCAGAGATTAAAACAGTCTTAAAGGTGCCTATATAGCTATAAAATTCGATATGAAAAATTTTTATAGAGATTGAAAGCTGAAAAGTTTTTTAAGGATCGGCCCCTAGTGGACTCAACCCCACACAAAAAGTTCCTTGTAGGGCTTTAAAAATATTAGTAGATTAATAAAATTCGAATTATACAAGTTTTATAGACATTTAAATATCTGGCAATTGGCCTATATTGGATCGAAAACCTCGTTTAAGCCCATCTTCAGACTTAAGCGCTCGTAACTTGTTTAAAAATCATGTATAGTGGTGAAATTCGACATAAAACAGGATTAATTTTAAAACATTAACTTTCCTTATAAATTCTTTAGAGCTTGGTCCATGACCCACACCGGCATTCAGGGCCGTGTTACGAAAATCGCCATAATGTGATTATTGTTAAAATTCAGCATAAAACTAATAAATGTATAAATCGTGGAAGTACATGCTTTAATGTTGGGCATACAAGATTCGTTAATGCCGAATATAACACTTCTTTATGGCACTCTTTTTTTCACTTGAAATAGCAAAAATTTTATTTTAAGAAAGTTGTGAAAAGAGCTCGGGGATCAGACCTTAATCCACTTTAATTATGAAAACTTCAAATAACTTCCTCTCATTCCGTTTGTAATAAATCGAAAAGTTGGACTTAGACACACAAAAGTATACATATATACAGACTATGTATGTATATAATCTGGGTACTTACTAGATTCTAAGACGATCAGGTCATGTGTCTCCTTTTGTCTGTGGAATGCACGAAAGGAAAGAACTATTTTCTATTGATAATAAAAATGGACAATATCGGCTCACGATATCATTTATCCCCCATGCAAGTGACCCCTAGATTTGCATTTTGCACTCAAAAATGATATTGTTATGGCGAACATCTGTCATATTTAAGTCGATGTTCACCTATATAAGAATCCCTTCAGGAAATGGCTTTAACCTCAGTAACATATTTTCAAATTTTGGTAATGAGTATTGTAGGTAATGTAGTTATTTCACACATAACTTGGTAATGAGTGGTCTTTGTTAATATAATTATTTAATTTTTTTTGGATAGGATTTGTAGCCAAATGTAAAGAGCGTATATCTTATAAGGAATTAGTTAATGATTTTAAACCTAGTCGATGTTAGATGATTTTGAAGAAATATTGATTTGTACCTTTGTGTAAAAACTATTCCAAATAGCACGATAAAACAACTTATTAATGGACCATTTGGTAATAGAATAGACTAATAAACACAGAAAATAACTGTAAAGCCGGTTTTAAATCCGGAAAAGTCGGGTAAGCTTATTTGTAACCATTTTTTGGTCATCGTCAAACAAAAATAAGTAGTTATTCACCCAAAAAGAAAGTACTTACACTTTGCTCCAATATTACTTGCCTACCTAACGGGTAAGTAAAGATTTTTGTGGGACGTTTATAAGTGGCTTAACTATATAGATCGATATAGCGAAGAAAGTTTTGTAAGAACAAAATCATTCTACTCCCTTTCATGAGGATCGTGAGTTTTTCTTCTAGTCGGTGACTCTAATTTCAAAATTATATTTGATTAATTCAATGGGAAAGAGAAGCTTCAGCTATATATGGATGTATTATGTGAACTATTTAGGAAGCTGTTTGATTTATTTCCCCTAACACACCTTTTTGAAAGATTTATCACTAAAAATTTTTCAGTAATCAAATTACACACCCACATTTTCAAAGTGATTTAATTTAAAGCAAAACTAAAAAACTAAATCAAATTTAAAATTGAAATAGGATATTCCAGGGAAAGAAATTTACAAAATAATAAAAGGACAATATTATCAATAAAAATATATGTAAATTTAAAGGGATTTTTATAAATTTTTTTTATAGTCAGCAAAAATACTAACAAGGTGTCAAGAATCAATAGAAATACATATGTGGGGGGTCAGTTAGGTTTATGCCTAAAAACCATTTTTATATTTTTATTACTAAAAAGGGGTGGTTGGTGTTTTGTTTGAATGAAAAAAAGTAACGGTCGTTTTATAAAATCCTAATGATACGAGTTAAAAAGGAGAAATATTATTATTTGTCAGTTGTTTAAATAACTATATGCAGGGTTTTTATATACAACAAAATAAGTATTTATCGGTATATGGAATTATTTTCTGAAAAATAAGTTAATAAAAGCCGGCTGCGTTTGCGTTTTTCTACAAAACATATAAAATAATAATAATTCAAAAATTTCAACCCTCATTTCTTGGCGTTAGCGAGTATAACACGAGTCAACGACTTAACAGTGTTTGGAAATAAAATGAGTTGTTTGTAGAACGAGTAAGTAGAATATTTTGGTGTTTTTTTCAGTCTATCTATAAGGAGCAGATGTTTCCTAAAGCGGAACGCGCCAACCTTATTACACGTGTATTTATATTATATATGTTTGTTGTGTGTGCGTGTATGTATGGATTGTAAAGAATTGAAAGTTGCATGTTGTACTACTACTGGTGGTATCTTGACATACAATATAAACTCTAAGGGGGAAGAAAAATTTATTTGAGCTGAGCTCTAAGGCTGATGACGATCGATATACATGGTTGGATATTTAACGTATTTTTTGTTTTTGTTTATTTGTCAGTCAGTCAGTCCGTCTGTGACTGTGTTTTGTTTGAGTTAAATTTTGTTGGCTGAGTTCGAAGTGAATTACTTTCAACAACTGCAGTTAGTACATTAGTCTTGAAAAATAATTCGGAGAGTGAACACGTTTCGGTTTGAAAAGAAAAATATAAAACTATTTTATAATTTGTTAAAGAAATTTTAGAAAAACAAAAGAAAATATTCATGTTTTTTTTAAAGTGCTAAAGTGGAAACATTAAATTAAAATCCAAAAAGAAAAACATAACAAGCAAAATGTCTAAACATAATTATACAAATCCGGCTTTTTGCCAGAACAGTGAATTTTATCCCGTGCCCTCGGCCAACAAAGAAAATGTGGAATCAATTTATAATCGTAGCTTACAAATGAATTTTAATTCGAATACAACGCGTTATGATCCGCGCGAAGGTCCATTGCGTATGCAACGAAGCATGTCCACGCGTTCGGTGGCCATTAAAAAGTCTATGGTCGATACATCACCAGCTGTACATCAGCCACAACAACAACAACAACACCAACGTATGCAGCACCATCAACTGCAGGAAAAACAACAATTGCAGTTTGTGCAGCAACAACCAGCGCGTCCTATTAAGCCTCAAACTTCTAATCGTTTGAATGAGTCATTTGAAACTAGATCAGGTTCTGGCCGTTATGCTTTAGTGCCTGTAGAAGAGTTGCCTCAAAATCAAAATAATCGTTATGCCATTGTGCCCGGTCCACCTTTAACGAATATAAATAATCCTTCCTCACCCTCTCCCTTAGTGGTTAGCAGACGTTATGCCAAATCTCAAGATGATTTAGATCGTTATTCTTCACAAGTACAATTGGAACAGGAAGAGCCGCATTCTTTTCATGAAGATCCCTCAGCAGCTCCTTATGCCAGTTTGCCACCCATATTAGATCAACCACAGCTACAACCTAAACGCAAAATATCCCTGCAAAATCGTCAATCTTCGGTGCAAAACTTACAGCAGCAACCCCCCAAAATAAAACATGCCTTTTCCAGTGATTTTGGCAGCAAAACTTTCTTAGTGGTAGATAAAAACTCCAATCAAAGATATCAAATGGTGCCCACCGCTGAGGATGAGGAATTGGTAGATGATAATCATGAGATAATACAAATGCATAATGGTAAAGCCCATCGTTATGCCATGATACCAGCCGAGGATGAAAGGATTATGAACAACA